TTTTTTTTTTTTTTTTGGAGACAAGACTCACTCTGTCGCCTGGGCTGGAGTGCAGTGGTGCAATCACAGCTTATTGCAACCTTGACCTCCTAGGCTGAAGTGATCCTCCAACCTCAGCTTCCTGAGTAGCTAGGACCACAGGCACATGCCACCCTGCCTGGCTAATTAAAATAAAAATTATTTGTAGGTACAAGGTCTCCCCATGTTGCCCAGGCTGGTCTTGAACTCCTGGTGTCAAGTGACCCTTCTGCTTCAGTGTTCGGATTACTGTGCCTGGCCAGAATTGGTTGCTGCTGCTGCATTTTTTTTTTTTTTCTTTTTGAGACAAAATCTTGCTCTGTTGCCCAGGCTGGAGTGCAAGGGCATGAACGTGGCTCACTGCAACCTCGGCCTCCAAGGTTCAAGTGAGTCTCCTGCCTTAGCCTCCTGAGTAGCTGGAGATCCAGGTGCATGCCACCACTCCCAGCTAATTTTTGTATTTTTAGTAGAGGCAGGTTTCACCATGTAGGCCAGGCTGGTCTCAAACTCCTGACCTCAGGTGATCCATCTTCCTCAGCCTCCCAAAGTGCTGGGATTACAGCCATGAGCCACAGGGCCCAGCCCAGAATTGGCTTCTCTTATAGCCCATATACTTAACTTAGACCTTAGAGTCTCTCACCAACTTTTCCCTTAGCTTCTAGGAGACACTAACCTTGAAGTAAAGACCAAATTGCCTGCAAAATGCAGAGACCAAGTTCACCAATGTCCACTTCATGTGCTGCCTGAGGATTATCCCATTCTCCATTCTGCTGATAATGAGAATTTAATATTCTCCAGGGAAAATCCATTCTCATAAAGAAGAATATCTTTGGTCTCTATGGTCAGGACAGAACATAATAATAGGTTAATAGAATGAGAATATAATAGAATAACAGTACACCAGGCATGGTGGCTCATGCCTGTAATTCTAGCACTTTCAGAGGCTTAGGCAGGAGGATTGCTTGAGTTCAGGAGTTTGAGACCACCCTGGGCAACATAGTGAGAGCCTATCTCTACAAAACAAAGTGAAACAAAACAAAAAACAGGTAGATTGTTAGAATGACAGTAGAGATATCCCAAAGTTGGAGTTAGAAAACCTCAGCACCATATGGGTGACTCCAACAGTTGGTACATACTGTGCTGCCAAGGCTGATATCGTTCTACCCCATTCTTTTCTCTCAGAGGACTTCCTGCATATTTCTTTAGCTGTGTTCTCAATTCTACTTTGGTCTCCTGGAGGTTAAATTATAAGTAAACACAAACTCACAGAAGTTACTAAAAAACCGGTTTTAAGCATACATTGGTCTAGCTCCAGATTTATGAAAAAATAAAACAGAAAAACAAGGCTAAACATTTTACCGGGTCTGTGTGATTATAGCTTTGCTAAAACACTCAATTTTTATTCCTAAATGAAATATTTGCTTTTTACAAATACAGTTGAATGTGTGTGAGCTGGTTCATGTCTGAGGTTATTCATTGAAGCAAAATAGTAAGATTGAAAATGTTGGGACTTAGAAACCAATAGCCCAAAATATGGCACTTTAACATGCTGAACTGAAGACGACGACTTAGGATCTCTCTGAGCTTCCCTCTCTTCCTGTATGTCAATCCTCTGTATCCCGCAAAGCTCTCCCAAAAAATAGGGTGAAGTTGTTCTCTGCAGTTGCCTTATCTGCCTAAAGTCTAGACTTGCCAAAGAAGAAATCAATTATCTTTGGTCCCTTCCCTGAGTTTTCATTAACTGAACTCATACTGCAGGAGGAAAGACAGAAGTCTGTCAACACACCTAGACAGATTTGTCATAAGCCATTGTTTGCACTGTGGGCCCAACATACTTTATTCCAGGCCACTGTATGTTCTTCAAGCCCACTGGGTCCCCCTAGAGATCATTTCATAGTCACCCTAAAATCCACACTTTTTCATCTCCCTGTCACCTAAGAAAAGGGTATACAAGCATCTGTACCTCATTGCATGCTGGGATAAACATTATGTGATTTTTACCCCCACTCCTGTGGAAGTTAATAAATTTGTGTACATTTTCTTCTGTTAATATGCCTTTTGTCAGTAGATTTTTAGCAAATCTTCAGAGAGCAGAGGGGAATTTTCCATCAACCGTCCAAAAACTAACAAAATGTCCATCGATAGAATATTGGTCGCATATCTTATGGTATATCTCTATGACTGAATAACATGTAGCTTTGAAAAGAATGACACAGCTCTCCATATATTAGTTGTCAAGGTATATTATTAAATAAGCAAGGTACAGAACAGCATATACTCAATGCTATGCTTTGTGTAAAAAAAAGGGAAAATACATTTTAATTTTCTCATATCTACATAAATTTGGAAAAATATTGCAGAAATCAGTAAGAGTGGACACTTGAGAGGATCAGGGGGTGGGAACTGAAGAGAAGAGTGCAGTGTTTAGGCAGGTAGCGGCTGGGAGTCAAAGTAAGATTTTTTTTTAAATCTTTTTTATTTTATTTTATTTTATTTTATTATACTTTAAGTTCTAGGGTACATGTGCACAACGTGCAGGTTTGTTACATATTTATACATGTGCCATGTTGGTGTGCCGCACCCATCAACTCATCAGCACCTATCAACTCGTCATTTACATCAGGTATAACTCCTAATGCCATCCTTCCCCCCTCCCACCTTCCCACAATAGGACCCAGTGTGTAATGTTCCCCTTCCCGTGTCCAAGTGATCTCATTGTTCAGTTCCCACCTATGAATGAGAACATGCAGTGTTTGGTTTTCTGTTCTTGTGATAGTTTGCTGAGAATGATGGTTTCCAGCTGCATCCATGTCCCTACAAAGGACATGAACTCATCCTTTTTT